AGGGGGTCCTCACTCTGCTGAAACCAAGTTAGTTGCTCTCCCTTATTACCTGGGCACTTGTCCCCTTATGTCCAGGAGCCAATCTTTCCCAAGCTCTCACGCAGGCCCTCTCCGTCAGGGTCTCAGCCCCTAGTCACATCTTGGGTAGAAGCCACTCCCTTCGCCCTGGCTCAAAACTTGGCCACAGCTATTTAACATAACTATGAAACCAGTTAAAGGCTATGGATATGTTAAATAATCATTCCAGAGGTTAGCTGCAAAACTGTTGCTATGCAAAACAACTCTCAATGGCCCTGGCTCCACCTGTCCCTTCCCCCAACTCACACCTGTGGAGAGAAGGGGTGAGGACATCTTATTATGTCTCTCTAATACTCCTATACACTTTGAATTCTGGACACCATGCCAAATCCTTTATTGTCCACCCCCCGGCTGCACCCTGTATCACTTTTGGTGGAGTGGGAACCCCTGCAGCTTTGGTAGAAGAGGCCCGCGCAGCTTTGAGGTGCCCCCTTTGGCCGCGTGGCCTGGGAAGCAGGAGAGACTTTGACTGGAACTGGGTGCAAAAACTCTTGCAAGTGGACCGTGAGAGGGTATCACAGTACTTTGGATTAACTAGAGATCCTGCCTGCACGGTGACACAGCTGACATACCAGCGGCCTGCAACACAGACATGTGCTCTTTTCCTGATTTACGGTACCCAGAGTTGGGACAGTGGGAGAAGCTGGAGCTGTGTGGGTGTAGGTGTATACCCTAAAGGACTTTGATATTTTAGTGGAGGTGTTAGGCCTGAATAGCATTAAATAAACATTTTGTTTCCTTTTCACAAATCTCTGGCATTGAGAGATGTCTTTCCAATTGGCGGCGGACAGAAGAGCCCAGTAGATATTAGTATTCTGTCCTTGGGAGGGACCCTTGTTCTGTAGCTGTTTTTGGCATCCCTAGGTGGGCCAAATATTGCCCCCCTCGGACCTTTTGTTCAGTAACAAAATGTCACTGGGGAGGAAATAAGGAAGGGTGACTTGGTAGATCATGTGATATGTTTGGGCATCTAGAAAAATTGTTGATACGTATATGACAATTTTGTGGAAAATATGAATAAATACATAGAAAATTATTTTTAGAAACCTCAGTTACTATCGTAAGTTCAATAATAACAAAACTCATTTTAATAAATTTATCATAGTAAAACATTTGGCCAGTCAACAATGTTTCGACATTATAATAATTAGACCCTATTTATAGTTGTAACATTTAAAAAAATTTAGTTTTCTTACTTTAATAATTTGATGTAGTAACTAAATACCCACATTGGGAGAATAAGTTAGGGCAAGTAAGGGGAGGTGTTTTAAGAAAGCTGAAGCTTTCTGTCCTGTAAGTATAAGTCAATAGATACATTGTCTAAGATAGATGAATCAAGACATGGCAGTACAAATTATTACATAAATAGAGAAATAAATTCTATGGTGTGGGGGCCACTTTTCCTGCAATGTTCCCCCCCAACCCCCCACCCCCATCTGCCATGGATGAAAGTGAAACTACCAAGACGTGATCTGCTTGGGGAGGAAAGGTAGCCGATTTCTCAAAGAAGAAGGGCCAAGAGCCCCTTCCTCAAGGGGCTTTTACTGGGTTCATTTGCACAAGAATACAGGTAGGGATCAAACAATAGATTGCCTCAAAGAACTATGAGGGCTTGTTCTCAGTCAGTGTCAGATAGCTAAAGAGCCATAAAACTTTGAGGAACAAACTTCTTGCTTGGACCCTTATCATTTAAATCAGAGCATTCTAAACAAAGTAGGTTTCACAAGATTTTACATATTCTTTCTTAGGCCTGATTACTCCAGATCCCTCTCTAGCCAGCAAAGGGCTGCACCACCTTCCCCATTATAAGTTTTTAGGCTTAAATGGATTAGAGCCTGGAAGTGCTTCTCTCAGAGGGAAATGGGGACTCGGGCTATGTCAGAATAGCTTGGGGGTCCATCACTCCCTCTTTATTGCAGCCCCCCTAGTCCTTCCATGATGGCCTCCCAAGTGATTGTGTCAAGCTTAGGTTGCCCCCCTCTGATGGGTCGTACCCATCACAGACTAACCGACCAAGCATTGGGGGCAGGGGACAAGCTTTGTCTTCTTAGTGGTTTGCATTCTGGAGGTTGCTCACTCAACCTTATCCATGGGGGGGCGTTACAACTCCTGAAACCAGGCACAGTGGTTCCCAACACTAGGGAAAATTATTAGGAGAAAAACTAGGTAGTGTAGGAGGTATGAAGCCAGGGTTTGTCGATTTCTTTATATGCTTCAATGATGTTTTATTTTTTTAACCTTTGTTTAAAACTTGAAAATATTCTTAAAACATAACTGTTAATCATTGAATTATTTCTGACATATAGTTAAATTTTAAAACATAGGAGGAAGGAATATGAATAATATTTTCCTACTTTAGTAAATACACACACATACTACAGCAAGCTTGGAAGGTATAAGCTGGAAAAGTTAACCGGGACTGTTCTGGGGGAAGATTCCTGGCATTGAAAGTGGGTGGGAGAATTATCTTTCTCTGTATATACTAACATAGGTTTATTTTAATTAAAGTACCATTATATTAAAAACACCAGCTTTTATTTTTTTAATATTTTGATTGTTCAAGTACAGTTGTTTCCATTTTTCCCCTACCACTCACCCCTACCCCAGCCATCCCCACCTCCCGCCCTCAATTCTACCTCCCTTTGGTTTTGTCCATGTGTCCTTTATACATGTTCTTTGAAAACCCTTTCCCCCCCCGTTATACCCTCCAACTTCCCCTCTAGTTAGTCAGTTTGTTCTTAATTTCAATGTCTCTGGTTATATTTTGTTTGCTTGCTTATTTTGTTGATTAGGTTCTACTTACATGTGAGATCACATGGTATTTGTCTTTCACTGCCTGGCTTATCATAACGCTTTCCAGTTCCATCGAAGCTGTTGCAAAGGGTAGGAGCTACTTCTTTCTTTCTGCTGTGTAGTATCCATTATGTAAATGCACCATAGTTTTTTGATCCACTCATTTACTGATGAGCACTTAGGTTACTTCTAGCACTTGGCTATTGTACATTGTGCTGCTATGAACATTGGGGTGTGTAGATTCCACACAGCTGTTATTTTTTCAACAAAAAATACAATTAAATTGGTAAATGTGTGTGGAGGCAGGTCAATACTTACAAAAATCTGTTAATATTGTGTGTATAAGCTAGGCCTGCCATGACAAAACCAGACAGGGTGGCTGCCACACAAAAATGTATTTTCCAAAAGTTCTGGAGGCTGACAGTGCAAGATGATGATGTTGGCAAGGTTGGTTTCTCCTGAGGCCTCTCTCTATGCTTTGAAGATGGCCATTTTCTTGCTGAATCCTGAAATGGCCTTTTCTCTGTGTGTACATATTCCGGGTTTCTGGTCCTCTTATTATGAGTACACCAGGTATATTAGAGTAGGGCTCACCTATGTGACCTTATTTAACATTAATGACCTCAGATCTCATCTCTAAATACAATTGGAGGTAGGGCTTCAATATATGAATTGGAGGGAAGACACAATTCAGTACATTATACTTTTGTTAGATGGATAACACCATGGGCTTTCAAAGGTAGGAGCTTGAGCTCTGCATTCAGACAAACCTGTAGTGGAAGTCAGCTTTCCACCTATTACTAACTGTAGGACATGGGAGACTTTCCCAAAATCTCTTGTCTCAGTCTTCTCTTCCATAAAGTGATGCTAACAACAATTTCAAATTATGTTGGAATAAAATGTGATCATGTATATAAAGCAAAGAACTGAGTACCTAAAATTATAAAAACACTTCTTTGTAAACTGTGAAAATTAATATTACTATTACACAATAGAATATAACTTAATATTGTACCTAGTTAATACAAAAAATGTGGAGGAAAGTTGCTTTGTGTAATTTATTATTTTGTTATCCAATCAAAAGATGGGTGTTGTTTTTGCTAATACTCAGTTTGTTAAAACCGTAACAGTTGATTGTGGGACACCATCAACCTCAGTTCTCACCCTGGAGGACATGGTGGGTAAAGGGCCAATACAGAAGCATCCTTGCATCTCAGGGGCCCCTTCTGGTTACAGAGAAACAGAAGATGTTGGTAGAAGGGGTACCGTCAACAGTAAAGTGAGGCATCCACTGGTAGTAGAATCATTGTATGGTAAGGGCTGAAGGTTCACTAAATGTCTTTGTGTCTCTGAGTCTCTTGGTCTCTTCTCTAGAAATATTTTATCTGGTTCTTTTGACAACCAAATGATGATGATATGCAAAATATTTTCACTTCTGTAAAATTAAATACATTAGAGATACTGTTTTATTGCTGTCTTGAGGTTCCCCCGAGGAGGAGGGACTTTTGCCTCCAGACTGCCTTTGGCTTGAGCTGCAATATCTCTAAGTCTTTATCCTACCACCCTTCCCTTCAGACTTTGGACTTCCTGGATTCCACAATAGTGTGAGCCAATTCCTGAAAAAAACTCTCTCTCTCTCTCCCCGTCTACACAAACACACACATACCCTATTGGTTCTGTTTCCTTGGAGAACTCTAATACAATAAGTAAAGTGAAAAGAGACAAATACTAGGCAGGACTGATGACCATTCTGTCCTGTGGCAGGTTCAGAAAGTGAGTTATCAGGTTAGGGCTCAGTGGTTAGAAAAATGGATTCCATGATACATATTTGAGTTGTCAAGACTATGGCCCACAAGATCCATTTTGATTTTCACATTAGCCTAGTATACACCCATCAGATGTTTTTGTCATATGGTCACATGTAAGTGTTTTCATCAGGTGAGCTAATCAATATTCTCTTCATAAGATTTAAGACTATCATCACAGTCTGTGTGACATACAAAAATGATTTCCTCTGGGCCATTTCCAAAATTCTTATGATCTGAATTAGATAACAAATTGCATAAAACTAAGAACTACATTTTGTCCTTTGTTTCTTCTCTTTTTTTTCCTCTTGTTTCCTGGCACAGAGCTGGCTGCACACATACAAGGAACTTAACAAATACACACATCAAACACTCCTGAGGAATTAGAAGAAGAATGTGCAGAGGTAAGAGACTAAACTCCAAGTATTCTGATGCCAAAGGCATTGTGCTCCAACATGAGTGGTGTCTTTGGCAAGTGCTCAGCCCTGGCATGTTGGTAGGACCAGCGGCAAACAGTGGTGACCTCTTCTAAGCCACCTCACACGGTCATGGGCATTGAAAAGTAATGTCACTGAAGACCAAAACACACTTTTTCTTTCCAAACAGGGAACTCGAACAAATTTCTCCCAATGTGAAAAAACTTTTTTGTATAGTGAATAAAATGTATGGCCTACTGAAAATTTGTCTATCAGCCTGGTTGTATGAAATGTGATAAATGGCAATTAGATGAATTTATAAAGCAGATGAATGTGGATACATAAGTATACCTTTATTGAGGTAAAAATCACAACAGGATGCGACACAAAGGAGGCAATAGAAGTACCCATACACAGTCGTGTTGAAGATGGGTATTTTAATCTAATAATTAGTTTCACCATGAATCAAATACATTTTAGTAGCTTGAAAAGATATAGCATTTAGTTTAATTTTGATGAGGATGGAGCTTTGCTTCATTTGACCTGGGTGTTTAAGATTTCAACAATGATGTGTAATGTAGAAAGTCTTTAACAGCAACCTTTTCCATTCTAACGAGTGCATAATATTGGTTTTGCAATCATTTAGTAATTATATAAGGAGGACATATTTATTACGAATTATTGATTTTATAATTACTGCTGCTGGTATTCACATTATTAGACAATGAAAATCTTTTAATATACCATGCTCTTCACCCTCAGCTGGCGAACAGACAGTGCAATGCAATTTAGAGAGTAGCCAAGAATAGATTTTTATTGGTAATATTTTTTTGCCAACCAACTAAATGGTTTGCTTTCTGAAAAATATTGCTAATGGCGCTTAAGCAGAGAGGAATGTCCAATCTCAAGGTCATTCCTGGCAGTTGATTACAGTCACCCAATGAACACAAGGTTCCTATTTAACTGTTAAGTTATTTTTGCTGCACTAGTTGCTGGGAATTAAAAGTTATGGCTGCAAATTTGCTGCCAGCTAAATAGACATCAAAGGCCACAATCATACACTGGATCATGACACATAAAGATATATCTCTTATGAAATTGATTTTTCTCCATGTGCAAGGCAGCTTTGCATTACTCTCCTCATGGAGTTTAGCACAGGAAATGTCTAGGCAAGCCAAGTGTAATTGTCAGCATAGTTTATATTCCAGGCAGAGAACTCCTTTTATTATTTTCCCCCTCCATGAAGATGTGCAAAAAAGGTTGTCTAAGCATATATTCTGATTTCACTTGCCAACAGATTGTGAATAGTTGATTTAAGGTCACTGTCACCCCCAAATGGGAAAAGATTAGGTGTCTAAGGACCAGAAGTATTAAAAAGTCTGCCCAAACAATATTTGCTGCTCACCAGAATTTAAAATTGCTGATTTTCACACCAGAAACATGCCATAGAGTTTTATAAAGCCTACAGGTCTATTAGCTGTTTTAATCCATCAGATTTTCACTATCCCGAGATTATGAACATCAAATAGAACTACATGAGCTTGATTAGTTTTTTTTCTCTTCTGGATATTGTGCTGCTATTACCAGGGGAGCCATATGTTTTTACAAAGCATGTAAGTGTGTTTAAATAAAATACCTGAACCATCAAATCATATTTTAAATGTATGTTGTTGAAGGTGCTGTTTCTGAGCTTCTTTGTGGGATAGCTTTGTAGTCCCAGGCTCTGTGCATTGCACTGTTGTGACTAGAAACTCATCATTAGAGCACCATTGGAGATAGGAGACTAGCTGACTCAAAATCCCCTTCTTTCATCTACAAAGTGAGGCTAGTTATTATATCTCATGTGGAAGTTAATTTCCAAACACACCAGCCTGACTTTTAAAGCCTTCTAAAATCTCACTCTAACTTTGCTTTTCCAATATTTCTCTCACTCTCCTCCTCCTTCTCACACTATATAGTCCGGCTAGCTTTTTACTTCCCGTAATTAGGCTGTATTCATTTTCAGCCCATTACAGCAGTTTCTGCCACCTTGAATCTCTCTCTCTCTCTTTCTCTCTGTCTGTCTGTCTGTCTGTCATCCATTCACTGTTAATTCTTCACATACCATTTTGGACTCATGCCCCTTATGAATTTCTCTTTTCCCCCTTTTAGTTTACACCACTCACTGAAAGACTTAGTCACACTCCTCTTTCTATCTGCCTACTTTATATGTTGATTCGAAGTGGTTTCTCCACCAAGATGAGATATATTTTTAAGGATGTCAAAACTATCTGCTCCTTTGTGAATATACAACTTGGACCACAGTAGTGTTTATTAAACACTTTTTTATATGTAATAGGGTTAAATCCTGGGAAGTGGGATTCTAGCTCTGGATAACAGGCACAAATAGTCTGTGAAGGGTCCTGCCAACAACAGGAGTGTTTCTTAACTTGGTATAGTGATGATGCTTTCATCAGCTAGCTGCGACCTACGGCCTGGGGTACAGCCCACCTCTCACCTTAGGGTGAAGAGAAAAGTATGTAAGGTTTATTGAATATGCCAAGTATTGAAATAGGTGGTCAATATTATTTACTATATCTAAATCTTTAATTCTGTGAGGTAGGTGTTATAGCCTCCATTTCACAGACATACATACATACATACATACATACATACATAAGATTCAGAGACATTAAGTAATATAGCCAAGGCCATAAAACTAGCAAAAAATTGAATCCTGATCTTGAGGTTCCTATTGGATTCTCCATTGCCTTCCTTGATATCCTGGTTATGCAAATGAGGGTATTTTAAGACATAAATGAATAAATAGTTTGAGAAAGTTTTCGAAAAGGAATATTATATTCTTTCATCACTATTAATAGCATCTATATCATCCTCATTCTTTCAGTTGATTTTTTCACTTATTTTCACCCATATAAATGCTAAGAACCTTTCAGAAACCAACACCTGTCTCACCTGCATGTCAAACATTTCATGGTTACATCAGGTCACATTGATTTCACTGTCTGTCATCACAAATTATTGTTTTATATTTTAAATTCTGAAAGATTTTGATTCTGAGTGGTTTTCTTGGTTACCATATAATTAAACTCGGGTTTATTTGTGATTAGAGATGGGCAAACTTATGCCAAAGAACTAGAATAATTTGCTGAAGATCATTTATAATAAGTGAGCCTTAAAACCAGATTATATCTGGCTCTGGCAAAGTTTAACCTTGTTTACCTTGTATAGGAGGTCTGTCCAGAAAAAGTACAGCTTTTGTTAATATAATGAGAACAGTTTGACGACATCAATGTGACCTGGCAACCAACGATAATGGACTGGAATGTGCATGCATGAACAATGATGACTTCACTGTACCAGTTAGTGGGAGTGGTAGACACTGTTGAGTGAGCATGTGCACTGTGTGGCTATTGCATTCAAAATGACTGAGCAAGTAGAACAATGAATCTGCATCAAATTTTGTGTTAAGTTTTGAACATTCCTCCATGGAAATGTATGGTTCAGAAGGCCACAGCTATGGGCAACTGGTGATTGGCAGTTTCATCATGATAACACTTGTTCATGCATTCTGTCTCATGTAGAGTTTTTAGGTGAAACATCAAATCACCCAGGTGACTCAGCCCCCCTACAGCCCATACTTGGTGCCCTGTGACTTCTGGCTTTTCCCAAACTAAAATCACTTTTGAAAGGGAAGAGATTTCAGACTGTCAATGAGATTCAGGAAAACACAATGTGGCAGCTGATGACAAGTGGGAGAACTGTGTGAGGACCCAAGATGCCTACTTTAAAGGGAACTGAGGTGTCATTGTCCTATGTACAATATTTCTTATATTTTTATCTTATTCAATAAACATCTATATTTTTCAAATTACATGGCTGTATACCTTCTGGAAAGACCTCATAGATCCACATTTGGAACCCAAATCCTCTTGCACCACATACAACTCGCTCACATATACATATAACTTTTAAAGTGATATATCCTAACATCCTAACTCAGAGTCCATTCAGTTAAGATTCATGATTATGAATATAGCAAGGAAAGATGGGCTAGGTTTGTACAGCATGCAATTTGACTCTGCAGCTATTTGAGTGTGTCCTATAAGACTGTTTCCTCATAATATTACTTTGTTACTTAAAGTAGAATACATGTCATGCATTTTTTTAAACCATAAATAACTCAACACATTACCAGAAATGTAAAAGGTATTCAAGAGATATTGTTAAAGTGAGGCATCTGACCCTCTATCCATCATGGTTCATTCACATTGATAAATGAATATCTGTGGAAACTTGAATAAAGGCATTTCTTTGTGCCAGAGCATCAGTGAAGATAGATCGCATATCATGTCTCCAATGGTCGAAGGAATGGGGGTTTTCCTTCTTTGATTCCCAAAATGTTTGCAGATTAGAAAGAGCTGGGGATATTTTTGAACTTTTAGTTGTTTCTACCCTATCTCATACTAACTTAAGCAGAATTGTGTGGACAAAGCTATTAAATAAGGAGTGCAGCATCCACCTTCCAGAGTCCAATAATGGGTTTTCCTCAGCTCTCATAAAACTGAAGAAGGTCTCAGTGGGAAATCATTTGTTACTCATCAATCATTTGTTTCTTTAAACTCTGTAATTCTCTTCCTTGTGGTAGAGGAAAGAGCTCAGCCCTTACCTCTTCCCCCCTACTAGAGAGAGATGCTCAGATTGTATTATAGGATGCACTAGAATATGGGTAAATTTCTTTCTCTTCTTCTCAGCCCCATATTTCAATGAGTAAATTCATTTGTTTCGTATTTCCTTGGTACCTACTCTTCCACGTCCTAGGGATACAGAGGTAATAGGAAGAACAATGGTCCTAATTTCAAGAAGTTTAGATTCTATTGGGGATTATAGACACAAAAGGGAAATCTATAAATATGTAATTTTTTTAATTCTGAAAAATAGAAAAAGCTTGTAAAAATAAAAACCCAAGGCAATTATAAAGGAGAGTT